ACGGCCTAGGTTTAGCAGTTTTCAGTTGGGCCAGTTAGAATGTAATCAAAATGGGGGGTAAAATCCATTAAAAATAGTTATTTAATGACCTTTAAAAAGGTTTGCCAATAAAAGACAAGGGTTTAACAGTTCTTCTTTTATCATAAAACAATGCAGTCCAGGTTTGAGGGGTCGAGGTGTTGAAGTTCTTGACTGGGACCAGTTTAAATGTGTTCAAAATGCAATAAAATCAATTACCATAATTGTTTACTGGTCTTTAAAAAAATAAAAAAAAAAGATCACAAGTCAAACACAGGAGCTGAAATGTTCTTCTATTAGTACAGAGCAATGCATTTCAGGTTTATATAGTATAGGTGTTTGAGTTTATGACCTAAACCAGCGTGAATGAGACCAAAAAAAAAAAATATAAAATCAATTAAGACGGTTCTTTACTGGGGCTTGAACCAACAACCCTCCAGTTGCAGGAAAAAATCCTGCATCTGACGCACCACGTAATGGTCAATTCTGGAGAATGTTTCGAAGGGTGGTTCTGTCTCCAGAACTCAATAAAATTAAATGATTTAATACACTGTAGCAGCTCTCTTCTTGTTGATTTTTGGAAGCATCAGATCCAGCAGATCTATCCAAACCAGGCATCCATGATAAGGTTACCAGGTAAATCAGCTAAGGACAAAAACAGGTGTCTAAAAATGATGGATTAACTTCATTGTGATCATATATATTAACCAGATTTAATCGAACTGAGAAAATGTCGCACTGTATAATGAGGTATCTGCCTCATCTGTCTTCATCCACACTAATAAGATGAAAAGGCACAGAGTTGTGTAACAGTATAATTACTCCACAGCAGTGTGAGAAGCTGAGAATACATGCCCAGGCCACTTCCTCCTCACTTTGGTTACATCTTCAGGAATCAAGTGCTTTTCCTGGACAAACACTATTCTAGCTTTAATTGTTTGATCCTTCTCCTTAGGGGTGCACCGATAAATCGGCCGGCCGATCGATCGGCCCCGATTTCCTTAATTTAGGGTGATTGGTGATTGGCCGATATTTACATATGAAACCGATCTTAACCACCGATCTATTTACCTCCGCCAGTGTCTTAAAATCAGTTGCTATTCCATATTTTTTCTGATCTTTTGTTGAAGTTTTGTTTTTTTTCAAATGTAAAAAAATCAAAAGATCAATGTTGTAGTCTTAAGTTTGTTTTATTTAATATTTATTATTTAATTCATTTCTATGTCAAGGCTCTACCTCATGGGCAGTTAAAACAAGTTTATAATGGTTCAAGGCTATTGTTCAAGGGCATGCTTTTCAAGAAAAGATTGTAACATTGACAGTGAATTGCGATCTTGCAACACAGTGTTGGTTATAGCAAAAAAAATAATAAAATCGGTATTAACCAAAAAGCGGAATCGGCAGGTCAGACTTTTTAAAGATCGGTGATTGGAAATCGGCCGGAAAACTGCAATCGGTGCACCCCTACTTCTCATAACTGTCACAGTCTTGGTTCCCTTAAGTTTTCTTTTAAGTATTCATTTTCACTTAGATCCATGTTTTTCTTTGTTTTCTAGTTTTATTGGTTTAATTCCTATTTTTGTTGACGAGGTTCCCGAAAGGTTGAGACAGCAGGCGGAGGTGTGGACACAGACAGGGCTGAAGGTAATGGAAGAGCAGGAGCCTAAGCATGACGGGGCAGATGAACGAGGATCTCAGTTACTTCAGCTTAGAGCTGAGAAACCTTGTGATCTACAATCTTACGCCAAGAGTTGCCTGCTGATAGGTCCATGTTTGGCCAGATTATTATGTAAGAACTGTAGAACCTTGGACTCAACGGATTCTCTGTTTGAGAGTTCAGTCTGATTCAGAGGGAGAGGAACCTGGCGGGGGAGATGTTCGCTGCTTGCTGCCATTACCGCTTCAGAGTGCAGGGTGCAAGGGAGCTGGTGCCAGCCGACGCCAAGCAAGCAACAGTGTCTGTGAGGGATCATCCAAAGCCAAAGTACAGTACAAAATAGTTTCAGAGACCAGGTGATCAGACAGCTGAAGAGGTTTCCAAGGGGAGCACAAAGAAGGAGCATGGGTTGATGCTGGTGATATATGGGGGCCTTATGTTGTGTACAACGCTTGTAGGGGGGGAAATGTGCCTTTGGTGTTTTAAAACTGGTGGTATTTTAGGCTTGTGTATTTATGGAAGAATTCGGACTTCATATTGTCCGTCTTATTCTTGTATGAGCTGGATAGATATATTTAGAGGTATATTTGTATATCTATAAAAAAAATAAAAAAAAACACAAAAGCACCGAATAGACAAATTCCGTAACTTAATATTTCCGATTCCGCAAACAGCCATTAATTTTTTCTGGCTTTTTTCCACTGTGAACAATGCTTTTGTTAAATGCATCTTCCTTAATGGGTACCGAGAGCTAAAAACATGCTATAGTGATTAAGGATTTCATCCATGTTCTTCCAGCTCGTTCACAGTCCAAAACCTCATGCAGGGTTAATCAGAGATTCTGCTGCGACCTTTGGAGTTATTATTAGTATGCATGGTTGTGTGCAGCTCTGATGGACGGCATCGATCTGTCAAAGATGTTCTCAGCCTGGTGACAGCAGAAACACAAATTCTGCCTTTCGGACTATTTACCAAAAAAAAAAACATAGCAGCAGGAATTATACCTACTTTAATAATAAAAGCCTCGGATTTCTATTCTGCAATCGACAGTCTCCACGTTTACATTTTAGACTGGCATGACTCGTCACAATAACTGAAAAGACTAAAATGATCCTTTTGAAGTAGGGATTGTCGTATTCAGCCTGGTGGATAATAACAGCTATTAATGAATAGTTTGGGCCGTTGTTATATTTTTGATAATTATGTATAAATCTCTGCAGTCAGAGTTATAACTTCAGAGGGATTTCTAACCTTTGTTCAACTAAAAGCATCAGTGAATTATGTGCCATCCAAAGGAAGGTAGAGCACCCTAAAAATGTAACTCTAGTAAGAGTAGAAAGGAGTCATCCAAGAAATTACTCAAGTTGGAATAAAAAAGTACTTTAAAAAGTTTACTCAAGTACCTAGGAACTGCTGGCTCATAATATTTGATTTAATGTTTAAAATGGTGTAATCAGACACAGAGGTCAAAATCTGGTATTTCAAAGTTATTATATTATTATTTATATTTAATCCTTC